GCCTTTGCATTCAACAATTCTTATCGTTTTGTCATCAGTAAACTACATAATGGACATGACTCTCTGCAAGATAAAGTTTTGATTGCTGCACAAATAAGATTATCCAAAGACATCACGCATGCTGCAGATTTAAACACGGTACCAGTTTAACACCTTATGGACGCGATGCCAAGCTCCATACCGACCTTTATCGAAATGCAATGGCAAGAAAACTTATGTGAATTGGAATTACAACCACGAGAGTGTAAAGAAAATTTTGTACAGAATTTTTCCAGGAATACAGCAAAAATAGTTTTGTCCAAATCAGAAGTTAACTTTATTTGATTATTTAAAATTTTATTATTGGTTGATAATTTTTTATTCTGTTCTTGATTTAATCTCCACTTCTATTACTAGTAGAGTGGTATTACGACTATCAATCTTTTTGTCATCAAGTTTTCTATAAAATAGAAGCTTTTGAAAATTTACAATTTATTGTTATAGCACGATGATGGTAACAAGTGCCAAAAAAAATGTTTTATACCAAAAACTTTTGATCACTACCCTATTTTAATTTCTACCTTGTCAATTTTAATGTAACCGTGAGAGAACATATACTGTAACGCTGTACCCGGTTAGCTTGGCGCACTCACACCTCTACCCCGGGCACAACGCTACAAGTACAACTGTGCAGCTCCGGCCTCTTTGATACGACCACCGTACCCCGGTGTCGTAACCCAAAGTACCCCGCACAGCTGTAGATTCCTTTTTCTTTTTTTTCAATTTCACAAGGAGCCACTATTTTGCCCCCTAAAAGCCACTATCCGCGAACCCCAGCCACTACCTGCTTTGATCGAGGAGGGCACGAAGTGCACCTCGTGACTCAAATCACCAGATCGCGCAGCCACTAACTTAAACAGACGGTACTCACGGATGATGCCTTTGACCCCTAGCTTCCTTGCGGTCTCCTGTACCTGATGTCGGCGTTGGCCCCGGTCCTTCACCACCCTCAAGCCGCCGAACGCACCAGCCAGCCAAGACCCAAGGACAGATTTCCCGGTCAACAGGACACTCGGGAGAGCTATCCAACAACCCAAACTCGAAATTTGCGATGATCTCACGTTAGTCAAGGAAACTTCCCGTAACAAAGCGACGTAGCAAAACTAAATCGAATACTGACTCGCCCCACTTCCTTTCTCTAGCTCAAAACCTCGGAAAGAACCCCTACAAGCCCTTTGATCGATCACCTACCGTCAATCAACGATTTCGGATTGGCTTATTAATCAACAGCGCCCTCTTTATTAAATTAAACATCCCTTATTCCTTACCCGCATAATATTTTGACCGGCAAGTCGTGTCGGCGCCTCCACCGGTCTGGTCCGTATGTTTCAGACCGTTCCACTCCTTCAAAAGTGGAGGCACCGTCACGAACCATTTACCCGCCACCAACCAATAAGCCACACCTCTCATGCCTAAGTCACGTCAGCGCCGCTCACCAAGCGCGCGTGCACGACCCATGGCCTGAGAGGCAATATCCGATCACGCCGAGCACACACACAGGCACGCACATATGCAACTTAGGGATTTACCACAGGCAGGCCACTGTGTGCGCGCTCGACGCTGCGACTTCGTTGCAATACATAACGTTGCACAATAAGAAGCTACTTTTAAAAATATAAAATAACAATTAGTTTTTTGTTGATAAGTTTTTTAAAAAGATGATGCGTTACTACAAACTTAAGGAGATTCTATCCCTCGCTATAATCCTTGCAACGCTCTCTATACTTTCGTATTTCGTCTGTCTTTCTTGCTCTCCTGTGACGACATAACCTTTTCTAGTTTCTACCTCACCTCTTAACTAATTTCTTCTTTCAACAGGATCCTCAAAATTTTTAATTAAATTCAATTCGAGCATTAGTTATTTTTTTATCATTGATAAAATTTAAATCGATTGTTTATTGTTAATACATGGAATAAATGCTATAGAAATGCTCAAAAAACGACAGCCGATAAGCCTACATGTAAGAATTAGCTAAATATGAACATTCATTACTCGGATTCTAGGGATCCTCGATCCTTCAAATTTTGGCAGCGCCATTTTAATGACTTAATTCATTTGTTACCAAATTTTCATCAATTTCTCATTGTTAATTCTATTACCGATAGAACTCCCTTGATTGTTGATTAACAATAATAATGATGTTGTTCTGTTGACACAGTCACAATTTATGTTCTTATTTTTTTCTGATCTGGTAGGACATATGCCATCACCACACAAAGTTTATTACTGTACTTAAATCTAATATATATTGGAATCACTGATTTACTTGGTCGATTCACTTTTTACAATTTGTTATTGTTTTTTTTTAAACTTTCCTGTAAATTATCGTTATTTATTTTATACATGATAAATATACTTTATCATAAATTTTTTTATTTCATTAACTTTATATTTAATCGTATAAATTATGACTGTATAAAGCCAACGTCTACTAAAAAGCGGATGGAACTTCACTCTGACCGGGGATCCGTAGACGCTTCAGAGCTGATTATTTTCCAATTAATTATTACATGAGTATATATTAACATTTATAACTTATCATTACAGAACGGATGTTGTTTATGAAGCTGATGAAAAGGCAACTGGTGCTGACGTTCTTTTGTAGTATTTACATTGTTGTATCTTGTATTAAGCTAGAATCTTATACAAAATCTGAAACACTCTTTGAGATAATATTTTAAAATAAAATTTCTTATATTTTTAATAAAAAGAGCAAACATAAAAGTGAATAGATATTTATTATCTTATGGAAACCAATTTTTCAGGTGGGTTAAAAAACGTTGAAAAATGATGTTAACTAACTTCAAATTCTTGTAAAATTGTGCTGATATTTGTTGAAAAATTTACTGCTCAACTGTCCATATTTGTTTAAGTGGGAGAAGTGAGAGTGGGATAGAGGTACTCCGGTATGTTTAATTTTACTGCAAGATCATTGCATGTGCTTATATTTATACAAACTTTTTCTATGGACAACTTATACAAGTGCATTAATACAATGAATTTTGAATGGAGCCCCAAACATTTTTTTTCATTTTTGGTATAAAAAATTTATTTTGTGTTAAAAATTACTGATGGCTAGTTTTTTTATTTATCATTCATTTAAGTACAGGGAAGTATGCAGGTATTTTAATTGGGCATTTTTGGTTTTTAAAGCATAAACCTTAGATGGTCGTGGAAATTCGGGTTTCCTCAACTCCTATCAAAACTACCTCTGATCATGTGCTTCGCTGCCCAAAGTATTTTCTGGATTCTTTCAACATCCCCAACACAACCAAACAAGTTTTACACAAATCTTAAAACCATCACTTCATGCTTATTTTATATCTCGTGTCAGGCAAAATTGAATATCTTGTTTTTTTTCGACATAACTCTTGATTGGGACCACTTGCTGGGCTCAAACTTGCCTGAACAACTAGGCAGAATTACATATTGTAAATTATTAAATATATAGACAGTTTTCGGAACTACTATTCAGTAAAATTTGTGAGTTTTTTACGACTCGAGGCATTATCTACTATCATTCTTAAGGCTCAGGAGATCGTTACTATGACGATCAACATATCATATTGGCGACTCTTTAACAACAGCTAGCACTTGACGCAATAAGCGACTGTATTCGTGTACGTTAAAACAGTTTCTCCACAAAAATCAGGGAAGTAAGATACGTAATTTAATAGATTTTTATCAGCTGAATACAATGGTATCTTTTGTTACGCCCCAACCGAACAAAACCTTGTAAAATAAAAGCTCAAGTTCAAGTTATATGTTGGACATAAGCTCTTATAAAAGAAAACAACTCAATCGTATTTTACGAAAAAATTCGATTTTCAGAACAGCACAGATATGTAGGATTTGTAGAAAAATCTTCTTCTATCTGATTTTGTTAAGCACATTAAAGGTTAATCTAGAATTCCTCAAGATAATTGTAAAAAAAAAAAGTTTTCTGGTCAGGAATGAAAGATATTTTTGTCTGTAAGTGTACCAATTTAAAAACGTAAATAATAACAAAAAATTTTATTTTACTTTTCTTGTAACTTTTTGAGCAGTTCATTTATTTTTAGAAATTTTTGTTGTTGTTAATAAAGTAACGACTCCTATTACACTAGCACCACTAGCAGACGTACACGTTCACACGCTAATGTGGGCACACATGTTAACTGCACTATCGACGCTACTGCCGAAGTTAAACTCGCTTCTAAGCAGTCATTTGACTAGAGCAATAGGCAGAGAAGCTACCTTCAAAGTCTTTTAAAACGTAGACTTGACTTAGTAAGCACTAATCATTCTAATCTATGCATAACTTTATTTTACTTGAGCTCACAGTGTATACTGATGCATGTATCGATAAATATGTAAATACATGAGAACCCTTTTGTATGTTTGCTAGTACGTATAGACTTGTATGCATGTACTTGAACACAAGTGTAAGTATGTAAGCTCCTGTAGGAATGCGTAATGTGTATAAGCCAGTAGCTATACAACTGTACACGTGCATGTGAATCCATGTGCGTGTGTATTAGATGCTGTGCGTGTACATTAGATGTTCGTGTATATATATATATATCATCAATTNATATATATATATATATATATATAGTGTTATGGAAAATTGATACAAAGGCAATAACTTAAAATACAGTATAAAGAAAAAAAATTTCGATATCTTAGTTGTAAAAACAATTAGACATCAATATTCAAATTTAGCTCCCTTATATTTACATACAAAGTTTTTCCTATACTATTACATCGCACAAAAACATTTAACTAACAGAATATTTAAACTGAAGCACTTAGAATATCTTCCCACAAAAATATTCAGACATTTAGTTGAATCTACATAAAATAAATCTGTATTTCTAGTTCCTGCTGGACCACTAAATTTTTGTAAATATAAGAAAGAATAATATATAAAAGTCTGCAATACTTGTATGCAGTCCAAGAAACCACAACTCGTACTTACTTGGGCACAAAAGATAGGATGATTCGTGATCTTATCTAAGTTGTTGAGCTCCTCTAATTGACTAATTTTGCAGTCAAAAGTTGTTTCATAAATTTTTCTTTCTCGAGTCATTTTGTTGCCTTTCATTTCTCTGTCCAAGAACTTTTTATTGCAATTGATCTTCAAAGTATTTTTGATTGCATTTTTCATTTGAATAATTTGTAGCTCTGGCTCAAAATCACTAAAGTTTTTTAACTTTTGCACCTTGAAAAATAGTTAGCATTATTAAGTTTTATTTAAAACGGAACACAAAATTTACTTAATTAAATTTCAGAAGATCCGATTCATACCATGTTTATCTTCTTGTAGTTAAAGAGTTCCAGACAAAAAAATTAGTAGTAGTAGAAAAAATTTTATACAATGCCTACAAAGTAACAAATCGTAATGCACTCTTTTACGTGCATTAAATAACTTATAAATACTGTTACATAATAAATACTGTTGATAACTAAGAACTTACCACTATAGCTTATTTTCCCTAATAGTAAAAAGTCTTATGGTGAATTCAAATTTATATTTATATACTTGATTCAGGCTTTATGAAAATTTTTTTCTCAATGTTCTTTGAACTCAGGACTCTCTTTAACTTACGCGATGTAAGTCGTATAAGAGCAGTCATACTGAATTGGTATAAAACTTATAAGGTGAAGACCAATAGGTGAAGGATTAGCTTAATAAATGTAGTGAATATATTCCTTATTTTCCTCGTGGCTTTCGATATAATTTGTACTCTTCAAACACTAAGGCGATATCACAAGGTTCAAATATAACGCTACTTTTCTTACAGCTAATGATTAGCGCGCCTATCAGCCGAACAACGGCAGTCAACTGCTGCAGAAAATTAGAGCAACTAACTGCAGTCTACTTGTGTGCCATCTTATGGTGTTGTCATTGACTGAGATGCGCTGATTAGTATTGATATTAAACATGCAGCCTACCTCTATTAATTACAATGAATTAACAAAAAGGAGGAAAATAAATATAATAAAACCTTACAACTTCAACGGAATTTAAATAGACCATAGATTACTTATCTTACATTGAAGTTGAGAGAACTTTTAGCATAATCAATTACAAGTAGTAGTTCATAGGTTATTGAAAAGACAACCAATACACATTTAAAAATTTTAGGCGTTTTGTAAACTTAAACGTTAATTCTTATAATTGAAGCCTAATAACGAGTACAATTTGATCAGAATCTGGGTAAGTTGACACAACACAAGCAAGAGGCCACTATTCAGGAGGACTTGTATAGTTAGTAATTAACACGAAATCATCAGGTTTTAATTCTTGAGTAGGCTTTTGCCACTTTTCTAGAAGTTGGGATCCAATAAGATATTCCTGTCATCATTTTCAGAAGTGATGGACCAATTGTAATATAACTAAATTGGTACCACGATCATTGTAATGATCTATGCACTGCTTTTGTCGAGCAGTAAATACTAAAAAAGCGGCTTCAAAAGCCAAGGCAGAGTAATCTTTCATGGCATCTTAATTAAGTGCATGAGTACTGAAGAAAACAAAAAACGACTACACATCCGTTAGTCGTCCCTCTACTACGAGTTTTAGCTAATCAGTTTAAATAAGGTCCCATTTAGTTAACCCTGTATGCTGAAAGGCAGGAATGTAGTGAGCTCTGGGCAACAGTAAGGGACACGTGACAGGGTTTACAGGTTTGCTAGAGCATCTCCTGCATACGAAATATTTATAGGTTACTTTACGAACAACATGATGCCCTCTTAAAATCTTGTTTGTAAAATTCTCTTCGTAAAAAAAGCTTGTTCAACGAAAAATGAGGTAAGAGTATCCCGTAAGTAGTGAACAATTCCCTACTCAAATTTCTCAGGTGAGATCTCAGGTGATTTCACATCTCAAAATCTCACCTGAGAAATAAAATTTCATGCTTCAATTTTTTAACGTTATCAACAACTTAATCAATTTCCGACAGCTTTTGAAAAATTTGGACTTAAAAAAATTTTTTAACTTCAGACATAAATTTTTTTTGGAAATTTCTCAAAAAAAACTCTAAGTCCGAAATTGTTCAAAAGTTGTCGGAAATCGATTAAGTATGTTGAAAACATAAAAAAATTTGAGCATGAAATTTTATTTCTCAGGTCATCTTTTGAGATGAGAAATCACCTGAGATCTCACCTGAGAAATTTTAGTAGGGTTATTGGGAATCTAGTATGGTAATTCAAGCCGCAAGGCCCCTGCTTCAGACGAAGTGCCGTTCGATGCCCTGAAGATTATAGCTGCGGAAAAGCCACACGTTTTGCTTGACATATTTAATGCGTACCTTAAATTGCATTGTTCAGCGAGTTCTTTTGGACAAGGGCAACCCTTTTTCTGGTTCGATCATCACTAACACCCTTGTGAATGCTCGAAAATCCCGAAAAAAGTGCTTGAGAGGCTAAGACGAACTTGCTTAAGAGGAGAACTCAGCCACTTAAACAATTAGTACATATTTCGTAGAGGTCGTTCCACGGCCATGGCTGTGACCGAGGTTCTTGAACTAATGAATAGTGGATAAAAACCGTCAGGGTAAAAATCGTCTACATTCTGGTGACTCTTGACATAAAAAATACTTTTTACTTGTCCAAATGGTTTGCCACAACATGGGCTTCAAGGTGACAAAACATATTGTAATACCTTAGAAATATAATGGACATGAATCTCCAGAATCAAGTACTTCGTCGACAGAAAGGTTCGACCAAAAGAAAGGCGATTGACATTGGGGGTCACACAGGCCTCCGACCTTGACATTAATTTCTGGAACCGGATACACAAGGAACTTTTACGCTTCAAAATACCTCCAGGGGTCTAGCTGACAAAATTTGCAGATGAAATAGCATTTCACATCACGGCAGGATCCTAAGAGGAGGCCGAGTGCCGAACCCGGTGGGCAGAACTTAGTAAACTTAGAATCGGATTGATTCTGTGTTGAGGACATTTATTTATTAGCCAGGAAAAGCATCACGCACATAGTGAGGCTTGCAAATATTGCAGCCTTTGGAGAAGCGCTGGAAAACGGCTGGCAGTTCTTAGGGACCTCGAGAGTAGTTTTTGCAACACTTTGCCCCTCAAAACAAACCCCCACCACTCGGGTAGGGGTCTGTTTTGACGAAGCCAAAGTGTTGCATGTAAGTAATAGTAAGGTGGGAGTATAAAAGACGTTGTTGAGCGGAAGAGAGAACATGCGAGATCTAAACGTAGTGGAAAGAGAGAGTAGAAAGAAACGTAGAGAGAGGGAGACATGAAAAATTATAGAGACATGGGGAGCGACGTGGTGTAATATTATAAATATCCTAGTACATACGCAGTATATTGCTTTTAACGAGACGAACAGTATTGCATGTTATTGTACGTAAGATGTTATGACGAGTGCGGAGGGTATAGGGAGTTACTATATTTGACATACTAAGAAAGAGAGCGAGAGACATAGATTATGATAAACAACCTACTTCTTAGAAGAGCGAAAGACAGAGACGTGAGTTGCGCTACTATAAAATGATTGTACAGTGTGTATAAGCGAAGTGTGACCAAAGACGCTATTTTCAGAGACTACATGATTGATAGAAGTGGTATAGAGGAAAACACAGATTTACATATCACTGCTTGGATTGTAATTTTTCCAATTAGTCCCCAAAACTGATGGAACCAATCAGTGACTTTCGGACACTTCACCAACACTTTCTCTATAATCATTTCATAAATAAACAGAACCAGAGCGCTACCACTCAACTGACACAGATAGCAGAGTCATGTCTGGGCCACAGTTTTTCGCTGCAGTGGCTAATCAACTATATTTTTCAAACACGTGCTGACTCTTCAAAGCCGCTTAAAAATTTTTGATCAATGCATGAAGTGCAAAAATATACTGATTAGTCGTATGACTCGCTAGCACGCCGTTGCGCTAGCTTTTTTCCAAAACGATCAAAGTCACGTGAGTTACGCGTAGATTGCCGAAACAAACCAATCAAGCGTACGAGCCGCTTCTATGTATACTACTTAGCTTGCTCATAACGATCGTGATCTTACGAGCAGTATGCGGAGATTCGAATACGGTCGTTCAGTTGAATTATTGGATTACGTCAAGTCAGCACATTCTTGAAAGTGTTATACCTAGTAATGAAGCAAATGCATGATGATATACTTAAGAATGAATAACATTTTAATGCTGATATAATCATGGAATGTACACCGACCACTATGCGTGGTAAGCAGACTGTATTACTATATTTATTTATCAGGTATAATTCTTATACTTTTACTTGCAGAGGAAAATCTACAACCATTGACTAGTGGTTTGACTGGTGGAGAGGGAAAATACATTGAGGCACACCGCAGGGACAGCGGTAGTGTGGGACTCGGTGGATTTTTTTTATTAGACCACCCATACCCACTAAAAACTCCCCCCCGCCCATGCCGCGTGGCTTTTGATACACCCCGGAACCGCGTAAGCATTACTTCAGGGTGGAGCCACGAGGAAGACCATCGCGTCTCACAACATTAACAAGCTAGCTCGTCACCATTTGCTAGAGGTGCTGATGCACTCGAGTCCTGAAAAGGACTCGGGGTCCCTGAGGACCAGCACCTTGTCTAGTGCTTCAAAGTAGGCCGCCTACTTAGCCAGCACCACTATAAGCTTAATGCTTTCCCTTGCTGATAGGTAAAAAAGTACCAATTGCAGCCTGGGTCCACATTAGCCTGCCTTTCAACTCAACGTCCCTTTGCCTTATTTTCGTCCTGCTTGGGCCTTATCCCTGGCCTCTTCTAGATCTCTTCTAAATAAAGGGCAGCTCCCACTGCCTGCTTTGTGCTTGTTGTCCGTTGTTGGGCAAAGGTAGCACCGTGCTGGGCCTGTACACTCTTTCTTCCAGTGGTTTTAACTTCCACACTGGAAACAAAGCTTGGATCTGTTTTCGTTCTTACAGTTGCCTGAGACGTGTCCACATCCCAGGCATTTGTAACATCTTGTTATTCCGATTCTTTTTCGAATTTGGCAGCTTACGAAGCCAACTCGTGACCTGCCTTCCTCTTCTACTTGTCTGGCAGTTGCTCCGTCCACCTTTATCAACGCCAGCCTCTGTCGTCTGGCATTTGGCTTTAAGAGAGCTACTTCTGGCTCTTGGCTCTCAAGTCCAAAAGTCCTAGCGAAAGCCTCTTTGACATCATCTGCCTCTACAACGGCATCCAGGTCTCGGACCTCTAATGTCACTTTTTTGTTGCTCATTTTGACAGTACCCTGTCCAGCTACCGACTTTTCAATTTGCTGTGAGAATGCAATACTATTTTCTACATCTGTGGCCTTAATAAGTATGTCTCCTATTTTTGTAGTGACAACACTTTGGACTGCCACATTAGCCTTATCGGGGTCAAAGTTCACTTTCACCATCTTCATCACCTTTGCAAAGAGCTGTCCTTCGGCCATCTTCACTACTGTTGTTGTTGCGTCCACTTTTTTCTTCTGGCTTGTTTTGTCATTCAGGAGAATCTCTTCTTGTTTGTAATCGCCTGTTTTCTTTTTCTTTGAAGACATGGTTTGCTGGCTTTTCTCAGGGCTGTCCAATGGGCTCCTGTTTCTTTTGCTTCGTTCTATTTCCTTTAGGGCAGTGTTCAGGGTTTTTTTCTGTACATGCCGTCGGAAATTATCTCGCCTTTTTTCCCTCCACTGCAGGGATTCAAATGACGACTTCCAAGCGTTGGTATACGAATCTTCATCAATAAGACAGCCTTTTCTTATCACCTCTGCCTCTTCAAAGTGTTTAAGCGAGGCTTTGAGCCCATTTTTAACAGCGTTCGCTGTGTTTCCGTACTTATCGTTAATCATTTGTAGCGTCTCTGTAATGTCTTCCGTTGCTGATTAGACTTTATCAGCAACTTGTTGTTGCTTTATTCTTAGTATAGCGACACTTTCTTATAAAGAGGCAAGCTTCTTCTGGGTCTGGTTGCTAAATACTGACACGTTGCTGTCCTCGGTGTCGTTGGTGCCTATGCTCGACAGGCTTCCACTTCGTTCTTGAGACCTTTGTCCGTGAGAAAGGGCCATGGAACATTTAGCAGTTTTTGTTGGCCATGAGACACGTCTTTGTGGCCCCGCCTCCAGAATCCATTGGGCCGGCGACAGTCACCGGAGCTTTCACCGGATCGGAAATGCCAGCGGATTTCCTCAGAGAGGTTACCGCCTGGGGTACAAGTTTTGCATTGACGTTTTTCAATGGTAGTAGTAGTAGTAGCGGTAGTAGTGTAGTAGTGGTAGTAGTAGTAGTAGTAGTAGTAGTAGTAGTCTTTTTTTTTTTTTTTGTGGAGGGAAAAAAAATGCATTGAGGCACACCGCAGAGACAACGATAGTGTATAAGTTTGTGGATTTTTCTTATTAGATCACTCATACCCACTAAAACACCCCCTACTCCCCATGCCGCATAGCTTTAGTTCCACCCTGGAACCACGTTAGCATTATTTCAGGGTAGAGCCACCAGGGAGACCATCACGTCTCACAGCCTTAACGAGCACGCTCGCCACCATTTGCTAGAGATGCCAATCCTCTCAAGTCCTGACAACAACTTAGAGTCTCTGAGGACCAGCACCCTGCCTAGTGCTCCATAGCAGGCTGCTAACTCAGAAAGCGCCACTATAAGCTTGATGCTTTCCCTTGCTGATAGGTAAAAGTATTGAGTGCAGCGTGGGTCCACATTAGCCTACCTTCCTACTCAAGGCCTTTTCATCTTATTTGACTCCTGCTTGAGCCTTTGTTTTGACCTTTTCTAGCGCTTTTCTAAATAGTGGGCAGCTTCCACTGCGGGCTTTATGCTTGTTGTCCCTCGTTGGACAGAGGAAGCACCGTGCTGGCCCTGGACACTCTTTCTTCCGGTGGTTGCAGCTCCCACACGGGAAGCAAAGCTTGGACCTATTTTCTTCATTACGGCTACCTAAGACATATATATATCCCAGGCATTTGTAACATCTTGTTACTTTAATCCTTCGTCAGATTTGGCAGCTTACGAAGCCGACTCTTGACTTGCCTTCACCTTATGCTTGTCTAGCAGTTGCTTCGTCTACCGTTATCAACGCTATCCTATATCCTCTGATAGTGGATTTGAAAAGAGCTACTTCATGCTCCTGACTATTAAGTTTAAAAGTCTTAACCAATGCCTTTTTCACCTCATCTTTCTCGACAATAGCGTCCAGGTCGCGAACCTCTAGTATCACTTTTTTGGTGCTCAGTTGGACCGTTCCTTGCTCGGCTAATGATTTTTAAATTTGATATAAAAATGCAATCGCATCCTCTACATTTTTGGCTTTTATAAGTATGTCTCCTTTTTTTGTGCTGACAACACTTTGGACTGCTAGCGGCACTGCCCTTGTCAGGGTCAAAGTTCGCCTTTATTCACTTCAGCACATTAGCAAAGGTCTGCCCTTTAGTTATCTTCACCAGCACTGTTGTCGTCGCGTCTACTCTCTTTTTCTGGCCTTTTTATCGTTCAGGAGAACTTCTTTCAGTTGACCTCTGCCTGTTTTTTTTTCCTAGAAGACATGGCTTGGTGGCATTTCTCAGGGCTGTCTGATGAGCTCCTGTTTCTTTTGATTCACTCTATTTCCTTCAGGGCAGTGTTTAGGGTTTTTTTTTTTTTTTTCTGGACGTTTCGTCGGAAATTATCTCTACGCTGTTCCCTGTGTTTAAGGGATTGAAAGCACTCCTTCCAGCCATTAAAAAATCTTTATCCAGTAAAAGAGACACCATTTCTAGTCTTCTGAGCTCCTTTGAGGTGTTCGAGTGTAACTTCAATGCTGTTTTTAATAGCGTTAGCAGTATTCCCATACTTCTGGCTCACAGCTTCAAGCATTTTTTCAAGCTCACTTGTTGCAAGTTGAACTTGCTTAATTTCTTTATTTCGGTTTGCTCTCAGCTCTGCACCATTACTTTCCATCGATTCGATCTCCTCTTGCGTCTGGTTGCTAAAGACATTAACATTTACTGCCGATACTCCAGACACTTGCTTGTCGTTCCCTATCTAAAAACGGCCACGGAACATTTAACAGTCCCTGCTGGTCATAAATAGCGTCTTTGTGGCCCTATCCAAAATCCGTGGAGCCAGTGGCAGTCAACTGGGCTGGCAATGGATCGGAACTTCTGGCGGATTTCCGCAAAGAGGTTATCATCTGGGGTACTAGTTTTACATTGACGTTCTTCATTTAAAGTTCTTCTTGAAATCATGTTGACCGGTGAAAGCCAATACTCCCCTTTTTTCCGAAAATAAGCATCTGGAAAGGGTAAAAACCAGCGCAGCCGCCCTCTTTGTTGCCGAAGATAGGCGCTACTTGCTCAAGCTGCCCAGGAGTCACCACTTTTCCGCAGTCCCATCCATGGATACTACCCTGGCATTATGTAAGAAATGTGAAAGAAGTGATTGTGTGTAGTGTATGTATATGTTGGTACACTACAGTCATCCCAGCAAGACAAGCGGCAGGCATACAATCCCACAAATAACGCAGACAACCCGCCAAAACGAGCTGGCGTATGCAATGGACTAAAAGTGCCGCCATGTAGCTTCCTCAGGGGTAGTGAGCCTAGATCCTAGATTAGTCAGCCTATCACGTCTTTTTTAGAACGAAGTTTATGTCGCATGCTTGGGGAGCTGAAATTTTAAAAACGAAAGATTTTCATAAAACAGAAGTTGCTTACCAGAAATCTCTTCCTCGTTAATAAAAAAAAAAATAAAGAAAAAAAAAAATAAAAAACAACAAATACCATGATTTATACATATGACCTTTTATTCAATAGCCCAGCGTTTTAACCACAGGGCTATCGAGGTGTTACGACTACTGTTATTCCTATTGTCTACATTAAGTATGCTACTGAAAACACAGTTTTGAATTACTAAACTGTTTAGTTGATCTTACAAATGATAAATATATTTTCTAAATAATAAATTTNCTGATAATTACTGTTATTCATAAGTTATTTTATAAATAAATAAATTGTTAAAATAAACATATACAATAAAGCATTTTTAAGGATCAGGTGTGCCCTCGGTAGGAATAATAGGATTCGCCACATAAGTGCTATCGCTCCAAGTCTACCTTAAGTCTCTCAGGCCTTACTTCACAGGTCCCTTGGGCCTCTTAATAGCCCCTGTTATGTCCAGACTTGTTCAGCGTATGGTCTTAACTGTTTTATTTAAGAGTCATTCGTGGGTCTCTTAGGATTCAGCTCGTGAGCTTTATTTGTTCTTTTTAATTAGGGATGCAAATTTGTTATGACTGAACTTGTTTAAAGTATGGTCTTAACTGTTTTATTTAAGTGTCATTTGTGGGTCTCTTAGGATTCAGCTTGTGAGCTTGATTTAATTTTTTTAATTGAATAACGATCATTATTTTAATAAAATGGGTNTTTTAATTAACGTATTTCTTTATTAAAGCAATTTAATAATAATTTGTTCTTTTAAATACAATTTAATCGGGTCACTTTCACAAGGTTCAGCGTAAATTTTATCACTGATAAACAACTTACATCCATCACTGATTGTTGTTACTGCTGCTTCGGAGTTCCCTAATGCTTCGTGCTGTAACCATCAGTGTTTCCTTAAACTACACGAATGAGTTCGTGACCAGTACGATGTTGCGATTTCTGCTTTCTCTGCTATCGCCAGAATCACTTTCAGCGGGCCTCCTTTGCTGTACCTCGCTCCTTGGCGTAGTCCGATACTATTGATGTTCTCGATACGCACTTGAATTGCCTCAGCCAACACGTTATGCCTTACGTGTATTAAGTACTCATGAGTCGCAAGAGTCAAGAGTTGACTAAAACTTTAGAGGACAGGTGACAGACGTAAAGAAAGCGATTTTTCCTCTTAATGGTGCGTTTTTACAGCATCAGAGCGAGTAAAAGAGGCTTTTGGTTAAATTAGGTTAACCAATGAGCAATGTTCTTGCAGACTGCGTTGACAGTTGCACGATGATGTTACATGTTAAGATTTTACATATTAGGAAATAACAATACAACAGTGCTAATCGCATTTTCTGACAAGTGCGATTGAGTTTTTGGGTCAGTGATGATGAAAGCTTGCATCAGAAGTATAAGAACGCCAAGTACAAGTTCAAATGTGCCAGTAAGTTTACAAAATTTTGAAATTAGTTCTTCTGAAAATATTACAATTAACTTAGAATATAATGAAGTAATGTGTGATTTACAAATTGTTAATTAGTATACATTATGAGAATTGAACAATTCATGAGCAAGTAGCTATTCATTAATACATACATGCATTTTTAAAACGAGGCTGGCCGTATTCTTTGTCAGTAGATTATGAAGCATTTACCTTAAAGCTTATACACACACGCGCACTCATAAACGACATACGAGCCCCTCTTGTCATATGAGCTTGCTTTATATTCGCAATACATCTTATGTAAATTAGATGGACGTATAGC